GTGCTCTCTGCTCTCACTATTGAGAATCACTGGTCTCCTGGAACCCTTATAGCTGAGAAACCAGAGATAGGAATTAATTTGGTCACAGCCACAAAATAACTCATTCAATTTGGTTCTAGTCAACAAATATTTATTGAACAACTACTACATGCCTGGTATCCTAAAGGCAACAGGTACATTTCCATCTCAAGCGAAGGAACTCTCTGACCAAAGGACTGAAGGGTAGAATTTTGGTACTGATAGGGAATAGCCTTACTAAAATCCCACATTACAGACAAATGTCTGCACAACTAATATAAAAAGGACCAGCCCTGCATGGATGCCCAGGTTTGAAGATGGTAAGAAATGAGGGGGTTTAGAGATCTCTCCCTAAAGTAGCAGCATATCTGCTGCCCCTCTCTTGTCAACACCCTCTTCTCCTTGGAATTGGTCTTATACCCCGCCTGCTGTTTCCTTTGTTGTCTTTTTATCCCCACCATGTTGGGCAGAAGGGCACCCCTCCTCATTCTCCACCCCCCTTCTTCCCAGCACAAGGTTCCATTCTTTATTAATGCTGTTTTAAAGCCAGCACGGAGCTGTTTTCCAGATGTGGCCATGCGCAGACAGTAATTGTGCTCTGTGATCCCTTCCAGCTGCTCCTGTTGCTTGCCAACAAACTCCCTCCACCCCCACCTTGCAGCCCCAGGAGTCCATGTTTGGGGGCTGCAAATTAGGGCAAACGTTGTAAAATGATCATGTGCTACCCATGGCCTTCCCCACAAGAATTATGGACTTTATAACTGAGCTAATTGGCATTAGGTCTTGCCTGAAAGGTCAACAGAGTGGCAGAGAAACAGGATCTTTGTAAATTGATCGGTTGATTTCCCCCTTCTTCCCCCCAACTCCCTTTCCAGTTTTGAAATATGGCCTACCTGCCCCGTGGAATTGCTGACTCTTGTAAATTATGGCTTTGACTGTATGGGACTGTGACACATTGTCTCACATCACGTGGAAGCCAGTGGGGATGTTGAAGGGGTGCATAATTATACCCTGCAAATTCTTCCACCATACTGCAAGCTTCGGCCTTCATGCACCTCTGTGAAGTGGGGCATTGTAATGCTCTTGACCTTCAAATCAGGCATGATTTATCCAAGAGTAGCATACAGCCTTTGGCTTTTTTATTTATTTAGTTTTGCTCTGAATACATGAGTTCATTTGGAATGATCTTGCAGCACAACATACACCATTGCCTTTCTGTTGTTTCTCAGATGGGAACCCTTGTATGGCGTTTTTTCATTCCACAAATTCTAATTGAGCGTATTATAGGCAGGGTCCAAGACTGACTTTAGGAGGGAAAGAAAGCTGTCTTCTGGAGTCAGAAATGTTATGTTCTAGCTATAGATTGTGTGGGTCCCTTTCTGCTTAGGGCCACTTGAAGCCTTATGGTTTTGAAATGTCTGTCCTTCCCCAACTGTCACTCTCCATTTGGGGTTAAGCACTGAAGGTTCTTGCTAAAACATATTTAATATTTGGGAGGAGTAACTCATTAAACTTGTGGTTCTTGCCCCTCTCCCTTTTTTTCTTAGTAAGGGGCCCTTGAGAATCTAATGAAAGTTGACCTCGTACAGCACACCCTCACCCCACGCATAGGCATTTTGTCTACAATTTCCGGCTGTTCTTGGCTCTTCAAATTTCAACTATGGATCAATGCTAAGTTAGGAATCCCTGCTCAGTTGTCATCCTCACCCATCAACACTATTGCCCACTTAAGCTGATTAAATCCCTTCTGGCAGAGAGGTTGGAGAAATCGGGGCTTAGGCTGGTCAAGGGAATGGGAAAAGTGAGGGAAGCAAAGTTTCAGTGGCCTACTTTGGGGCCACAATGACATAGGTGGCCTGAAAATCATCTATTTGTGCATACAATTCTTTGTCAAATGTATGGAGGCCCTGTTGGGCTATGATCATTGTGGATTTGTTTAAAAATGTGGACATCAAGTGTTTGCCCAATCCACAAATGCCAGAATGGTAACTGTTATTAGGCTGGAAAGTGTTTGTAAGGTTATTAAATGACAAACAGGGTTTTTTGAGCTGAGAGATTTGGGAGCCCCTGATCTACCCTGTCACCTGGGTAGATCTGATGGCCCAGGTCACCATCATCTCTCACCTCATTGCCACCTTAGCCTGAGCACATTCTCCTTTCTTCTATCCCTAGCCAACACTGCAGCCAGGATGATCCTTTTAAAATATTAGGTCCTCCTAAATTGAACCCTCCCATGGCTGCTATCTACCCTGAGCTAAAGCTAAACATTTGCCATGGCCTCATGCTCTGGGTTGATCTGCTGTTCTCCCCTTTGCTTGCTTTACCCCAGCTCTGCAGATCCCTGCTGTCCCTCAAACATGCTGGGCAAGTGCACATCTCACATCTTTTGCACTGGCTGCTGCCCTTTGCCCATCACACACTTGTCCTATGTCTTCAAATAGCTGGTGTCCTTACCCTTTCCAGGTCTCTGCTCCTCTTTTTCTAACCACTGCCTGCCATGGCACTCTTCCTCCCTCATCCACGTTTTGTTTTTCCACACACACCCAGCACCACATAACTTCATAGTTATTTGTTTTTGTTTGTATCTTCCCACCAGGACATCAGCTCCGTGAGAACAGGTACTTTGTCCAAGGTGTCTATGGCTGCATTGTAGTGTGGGCTATGTTGGTATTTGTGAAATGAATGAGTGTCTCAGCTTGAGGACATGGGGGTTGGGGGTGGGAGAGCAAGAAAGGAGAAGGGAAGCTCTCACAAAGAAAATGCAGGGAGTGGGGTAGAGAAGGAGCCTGGGGTTGGCAGGGCCGAGCTGCATTCCCCTTCTCTCTGCTGCTATGGGGGTCATGGGAGTCAGAGGACTGAGGCTCAGTCACTCAAACTCATGGCATCTCATCTATCAAATGGAGCATGTCCCTTATTGTCCTTTCTGGCCTAATGCAAGCTGCATGGAGAGTTTGCTTGGGCCCATTTCATTCTCCTGTGTCCCTTGTATCTTTCAATCCCAAGGAAGGGTGGGCTAATAAATAAGGACATATATGGACAAGAGCCCTGTATGGGTCACAGATCTGCTACTAACAAGTAACTACTTCACTTCTCTGGGTCTTATTTCTAAAGCTACAAAATAGAAGGGTTTGTTAGGAAAATCTCAAAATCTAAGTGATTCTATTATGAAAAGGGATGTGAGATGCAAATTAACTTTAAACTCTTAAGAATACTATGCAATAGTACTTATGGCAACATCAGCTGAGGATCAGTGTTTCAGAAGGTGGCATTCAGATGGACAAAGGGAGTTTCCACATAAGTCTCCCCTTCCAACTCTGGGATGTGGTATGAACGACAGTAAATGTGGATGAGACCAGCTTTCCACTGTGAAGCCAGTGTGGCAACATTCGTAGCCACTAGACACACAGAAGCGCTACCTTTCATAGTCACTGGCCTGCCCTCCTCTGGGCCAACATTCCCTCCCACAGCGTGCACTCACCACTCTTCCCTTCTGTAAATTTCCTGCTCCCCATGCCTTCATCTTACAGCCTCCCTACTTGATAGCCCTCATGTTGACATATTTCACTTCCCCTTTCTCCCAACATAGAGGAAGACATGCCAGAGAGCCTGGACTGACACCGAGGGCCAGCCCAGACAGAACCTGGTCAGAAGGGAGCCTCCCCAAATGGGCTGGGCTCTGTTGTCCCAACAGCGGTAACTGTTTTCTTATTGGTCAGCTCCAAGCCCTTGGCCCCCAGTCTGCTGCAGTTCTGCGCTTTGAGCATCACACTGCAGTTTTTCCTTAAAAGGTTTTCACAAGTTCAGAGCAGTCCTGGGTATTGGGGAGTTGGAATTATTTTTACCCATGTGCAGCTGAAATAGCCATCTGCCATCACACCGCCCAATTCCCCACTGTGTTTAAAATCCATCTGGAGTTCTTTTTTTTTTTTTTTTTAATTCCCCATATTAAAAAAAAATAGTGTCTTGGTACAAAGGAAGGTATTTCTTTGTGTCTTTCCTGCCTGTAGCAGAACTTGTCCTAGAGTACAGAATGAACTTAGGGCTACTCGTTGCTTGTTCTAAGCCATATTGATTGATTATTGGTTCTAGGCCCATGTTTTTCCCTATTCTAGGGACATCTATCTTTCTGTATCTAAATGAAATTCACAGCCCAGCTCATATCACCTCCTCCATGAAGTCTTCCTGATTATTCTAGCCCTCCCTTCTCTGAAGTCACCACAGCAGAAATGGGCGGTTCCATAGCTCTTACTCCTTAATTTTCTTCTATATGCCTCAACTGTGTTGGCGTTGTATCTCTCAGCTCTGTGACAACTGGGAATATGTTGATCTTGCAGTCATCACAGAACCCAGCCCAGAAGGAAGCTTTCTATAGTGTCCTGGAATGTTCTCTAATCCCTTATTTTCCTTCAAGGCTTCTCACATCCAGCCTTAAAAAGCTCAGATTTTCACCACACTTGGATTCTTATGATGGCAATGAAATTGCCAGAATTCAGTATAGTGCACACTCTCTGTCAAGAGCCATGAGGGGTTCAATAAATGAGTCTGATAAAAATAAGATGATAATGGTGATTGAGCCATTCATTTATCTGCTAGGATCCTAATAAGTGTCAGGCACACGGGCAGGTTCTGGGGTTCAGGGATGACTATGCCACACTCCCTACCTTCAGAGAGCTCAGAGTCTAGTGGAGGAGATAGACTGGGCAAAACATGAGCATTTCCAAGTGATTTCAGACGACGGAGCAATTGATTCAACATGGGATTTCCAAATTTTGGTATTTGATCTTGAGGGTTCAGGAACAGGACGCACAAGGGCATGGAAGTGGGAAGAACTGGAGGGTTCAGGGAGCAACCATTGTTCTGTGTGGCTAAGACAAAAAAGACATGGGAGATGCTGAGAAGTCAGCCTGCAAAGCAGGAGGGCGAGGAAGGGAGCCCCAACTTGTTTGGCAAGGGACTCCCACTCCAGGCTTCCTCAGTCATTGTTCAAATTGTAATGAGTACATTTATTAAAGTTTTCTTTCGTAATGAGGTCTATGAGTTTTTCCTCTTCTACATGAAGAAGGACTTCCTTTGATTTATCTTATATTGTTCATTTCCATCTCTCTGTGCAGTTTGATGTAGTTGACACCTCTTAAGTTCCTCATTGCCTTTAGTCCAGTTATATGCTCTTTAAAAAAAAAACCCATAAGTCATGGAAAAACATTTGGAAACTAGGAATTGGGAGAGATACACATCTATTACCTTCATGACTTTGGATAATTTTTTAAACTACTTTAGGCCTCAGTCTTGTCACCTAAAAAATAGGAAAAATGACACCAGAGCCACCTACTGTACTGGATGGTTATGAGGCTCAAAGTATAATAATAGATGCAAGAAAACCTCAAAACACAAGAAACTCAGCACAAACACAAGGGCTTATTACTCTGATGGAAGGAGCCAGTCACTCCTTCCTCTTGCAGACTCTCTTGCCAGGCTGCAGAACTTCACTGAGTCCCTTGGTCTCCCATGGCAACTCGTGGCGTTAGCATCCCACTGGCATTTTTGCCTCCACATAAGGCGGCATTTGCTCATTAGGCATAACAAATTACCCGCGCTCCACTGGGGCAGAGATGGAAAGCTGCAAGGTAGAATGAATTTCTTCCCCCCTGTTTCCCTCCCTCTCCCTTTTCACGTTCACAAGTGTACTTGAACAAGCTGTCTCCTGTCTGGGGAAGGCAGAGCTGGGGCCACACTGAGGTGGGGCTCAGGATTTGAGAAGGCAGCTGCTACATCCTTCCTCCCAAATGCTTTCCACAGCTTGGCTGGCTCTGGCCCTGCCATGCTGGTAGCACATCTGAATATCAGTTGTTTGCATAAATTGTGAGCCCAGCACATCATAGCCCTTCTTTTGGGGCACCCAAGTTTATTGGTTCCAGGAATCCACTGAAGGCAGAGCATTGATGGACCAAAAGCCAAATTCCTACTTCATTAACTACTCCACTGTAGTGAATGGTGAAGCCCCTTATGGTCACATTTCCAGTCCTTCGTCCATTTTACTTCTATTTGAGCAGCACTGCACATCCAAATCCTAACTGTGAAGAAAGGGGAACTGGCAGCATAGGAAGGAGGATGGAGAAGGGACCAGCCTTTGGCAATATTGTGAGACTAATTGTAAATGCCACTCTTGGTCTACTCTCTGGGGCCCCTTTTGCCTTCATCTAGGTGCACAGGATCTTTACAATACCTGCTGCAGATCCTCCAACATGCCATCCAGTCCTGTCGCCACAGTCCTACACTTGGCTGCATCTAGATTACCATCAAGGGGTCAAAAGATCACCAAAGGCTGGAGACCTGCCTTCCAGCTACAGGTTAAGTGGCATCACTTGTGTAAACTTCAGCTTGTGTACAGCAAGGGCAGTGAGTTGGGGAGGGATGAACTCCAATCCCAGGGAGTTGCAAACTATGTGATTCTTATTTTTTGTTTTCAGGATCTCATTCTATTGCCCAGGCTGGAGTGCAGTGGCACGATGATAGATCACGGCAGCCTCAAACACTTGGGCTCAAGCAATCGTCCCACGTCAGCCTCCTGAGTAGCTGGGACCACAGGTGCATGTCACCCACGCATGGCTAATTTTTTGATTTCTTGTAGAGACAGGGTCTTACTTTGTTGCCCAGCCTGGTCTCAAACTCCTGCACTCAAGTGATCCACCTGCTTCAGCCTCCCAAGGTGTTGGGATTATAGGTGTGAAGCACCATGCCCTGCCAAATTTGTGATTATTTAACCAAGTTCCTCTACTACTCTTTTCTCCGAATCAAAAATCATATTTTCTTGTGGTCCATCCTCTCAGGGTCTTCTTCCTCACAAGTCTTCTTCCTGTGCTAATGGAAAAGCTGATGCCACAAAGGGTCTTTCTGGTAGCCTCAGGGCCCTCACTCCAAATTCCATTCTTAGCCTAAGCCCAGGATGACATCACAGGGCAGTCCTGCTTTCCTGTTTCCTTTTGAAGAACTTCCACTGGGTGACAGTCCCTTCATTCACTGCTATCATGGGTCATTCTCTTGTTTGGACTCTTGCCTCCCACAAACAGATGATCCTGCCTCCCCTAAACAGATTCCTGAGTTTCCGAAATCAGAAATCAAGCTGGCACCAGGCTGGGCCCTTGGAATGTTTTGAGTAATTGATTTCTTGGAAAAGACTCCAAGTCCTGGGCTGCAAAGTCCTATCTGAACCCGTTCTCCTAGCCTACTCTGTCCACCTTTCAGTCTTACCCTCCTCTGAGCCCCAGGCCAACCCTTTTGCTCTTTGGGCCCTTATACACTTTCTCATTATCTGTCTGCTGTGCAGCCCTTCTGTTCCCTAAAGTCTCTTTCTATAAAAAAGTCTTCCTGGACCAGATCAATACACTGGGCTTCAACTTCATTTCTTAACTATAATTCCTCACAGTTATGTAAGTATTTTGCCAGCCACTTTCCTGAAGATCATCTCATTTTATCATCTCCTAGACGTTATCATCTCCATTTTAAAGGTGAGCAGACCAAGGGTTAAGGAGACTAAATGAGCCCAAGATCACAAGGCGGTCATCAGAGGGCCCACAAAGGCTGGGCTGGGACTCAGATACTGTTCTCAGGTCCTAAGCTAAGAGTTCTGTCAGTTGCAACATAGGCAGTGAAGCTCATGCATCGGTGGGGCTGTGGGCACTCCTATGCTCTGGCTTAGTTTATTCCAGAGTGGCCTGCTCCCTGTTCTATGGCTCTCTTGGCTGAAGATTTCTAAGAGTCAGAGGAGGAACTGCTGCAGGGTGGGACAGACTGGAAGGGCATTGGAGGGAAAAGTCCTGGACACAGGGCATTTCATGGGCACAAAGTCAGGCTTTAAATGTCCCTGAAAAATTTTCCCTGAGAGGACTCGTTAAAGGTAGGAATGAGGTTCTCTGGTGTTCAAAGTAATGGGTTTCTAAACATCATGATGCCTGTTAAGCCAAGATCAATAACAGTTTTTATTTTTATTTTTTCCTTTTGCTTAGCTCAGATAGCAAAATTCTTGGTTTCATAACTAAAAGAACTGGTTGGTCTGGTAGCTACTGCTACCCAGGACATGAAGGAGCTCTGGACCCATGCCCTAATCAGAAAGGAGTTTAGAAAGTGCTCTCTGCTCAGGTTGGCTCAAGAGGGTCCAGGGACTATAGATTAGTCCCTGGGTTGAGAAGGCTGGGCATGGTTTGATTATGTGTTTCCTATGCCTTCAAACAGCAGCAAGAGTAGCCAGCCCATAGGAAGGAATGAAAATCAAGGTGGACCTTGCTTTAGGGACATCTAAAAGCATCCAAGAGAACAAATAAAATGAATAGCTCCCATTGAGAACTTAGTATTTGCCTAGCAATGTGCAATGTGTGTATATAATTCTTTTTCTGCGTTACAACCTCATGAGGTAGGTCCTATTTTTATACCCATTTTACAGATAAGGAAATTGAGGCACTGAAGTAAAATGCCCAAGGTTAACAACTAGTGAGTGGTAGATTTGAAATCAATCTGGCTTCAAAACTAATCCTTTGACTATTAAGCTCTTTGACCCTGAAAAGGGCTCAGATACACTTTTTGTGAAAGAATTGCCCACAGGCTTCCTTTCCGTAGCTAGGGCTCTCCTGCTCCAGTAATGCTGACCACTAAGTGTAGAGTCTGTGTTAGACACAGAGGCAGCTTCAGACAAAGAGAGGTAAAAGCATAGCTCAGTGTCTTTAGAGATTCAATTTCATTTGCTTCGATTCGATTAAATTCAACTCAGTTCCACACTGAATTCAGCATCACTGTGTGTCAGGCAGATTGCTCTGTCTTTAGGATTCTCAAATGAAGCTGAATCAATTCAGAAATAATTTCTGAAAGCCTTAAATGTTTGAATAACTTCTCTTAGCAATTATTCTAGGAGTCTATTCTAAGGATATAAAATCTTGAATGTAGGGAATATTAGCTCTGAAGATGCTCCTCTTTGTTTATTAAATAGCAAAAGTAATAGGTATGTTGCTGGGATAGGGACAGACTGGTTATAATACATGTATCTAACACAGGTGTCATAAGCTGCAATGACACAGTGGCCATGTGGGCTGAGACTAGTGAGGCAGGAATGAGGACAGTCAGCAGTGTCTTTAGTTCCACTGGCAATATACAAAATGTTCCCAAACTCTCTCAGTAATAGTTTTACAGCATTTCTAGGAAAAAATAGATGCTTCATAGTTAGGTTTATTAAGTATATGAGTGCAAATAAACCAGGAAGTACTTATGTCCTAACAACTTAATAGCTGTTTAAAAATATTACACATAATTTGAAAGAAAAATATAAAAATTTCATTCTTAAATATATTTTCTAATGGGATGTGTACCTATTGAGCATTGTACAATTAAACTAGAGTCAGATTGGACACCTCTACCTTTGTTTCCTGTTTGATGATTTTCTCATGGTACTTGCTTTTTAACATAATGACCAGTGAAAACCCAGCTTTCCAAAGATGTGATGATACCAAGCGTAGCATGATCTATTGTTAAAATGCTGAACTCACTCAAGCTGCTAGTTTGCATGGTGTCTGACAACACTGAATATTACGGCATGTTTCTCGATAATTATACAAATCCTAAACTGTCCTTGTGGTTTTCCTGTGGGAGCCTGGGGTTCCTTTGTGCACAGTTTGGGGGCTGCAGAAATATGTTCTCTTCTATTTTGATAGACATATGAGGACAAGAACTATTTCACTTCCATCTTGACTGTAGCAAAAGAAAATCAGCCCAAGAGCATGACAAATAGCAACTGACCCTCAGCCTGAGTTTTATGGAGACCACAGGGAATGGGAGGGACTACAGCAAACAGAGAACACCTCCACCCTGCAGCTTCCACCTAGCTCCACCTATGTGGCCCAATAGGGATGTGCTGTTACCATCTTTAAAATAAAAGCTTAAAATATTGACTTTAATTCCAAAATATTATGTATAACCATTGGGCTAATGCTATGCTACACAAATAGAGCATGTCTGCAGATGATGTTTAGCTTGAAAGTTTGGGATATGTAATATAACAAGTTTTCATGTAACCATTAAAATGACATTATTGGCCAGGCATGGTGGCTCATGCTTATAATCCCAGCACTTTGGGAAGCCAAGGCGGGTGGATCACCTGAGGTCGGGAGTTTGAGACCAGCCTGACCAACATGGAAAAACACCATCTATACTAAAAACACAAAATTAGCCTGGCATGGTGGCACAAGCCTGTAATCACAGTTACTTGGGAGCCTGAGGCAGGAGAATCACTGGAACCCAGGGGACGGAGGTTGCAGTGAGCCGAGATCGTGTCATTGCACTTCAGCCCAGGCAACAAGAGTGAAACTCCATCTCAAAAAAAAAAAAAAAAAAAAAAAAAAGACATTATTGATATATAATCACATGAATACATATATATACTATGTTAAATTTAAAAAGGCAACTAGTAAATATCATAATATCATTTTTATAAAAGCTCTTTATGGATATCAAGATGACTAAAAGGATATATAACCAAAGGCAATGAAGATGGTTATTCCTGGGTAAGGCATCTTGGGTGATTTTAATTGTTTTTTTCGTTGGCTTCTTTGTATTTTCTAAATTTTTAAAATAACCACATATTGCATCCAAAAATTTTGATGTTTTTGTGTTGTTTTTTAATAAAGAAACTTAGAATGATTACTATGAACCAGGAGCAAACACAAATGCAATTGAAAGTTGTATAAGAAAAAGTCCCTGGTTTTATAGACACTTAATGAGTGGGAGAGAGATACTGTATATTACTAGTACTGTATATACACTAATTGACAAAACAGGAGAGTTTAATGAAGTTGCTGAAGGGATTCAGGATAGGAAGAAAATTGGAGGCTGGGATGATCACAGAAGAAGGCTGTGTGTGGGGTACCCAAGACCATCTTAAGTTCAGTGATTTACTAAAGAACTTACAGGACTCAGTATACTGTCATACTCATTGCTAAGATTTATTACAGCTAAAGGATATGAAGTAAAATTAGCTAAGGGGATGGTGCATTGGGTGAATTTCAGAGGAAAGCAGGCACAAGTTTCCAGAATCCTCTCCCAGGGAAGTCACATAAGATGTGCTTAATTTGTCCAGCATTGGGTTGTGGTAAGTGTAAAGTGCTATATACCAGGGAAACCCGTTAGAGACTCACTGCCCAGGGTTTTTACTTGGGGCTGGCCACATAGCCACCCTTTACCTCCACCTGCCAACATTTCAGAACATGGATGTTTAGCATAAACCACATGGTGTGTACAAACAGTTTAGGCACAATGAGCCACACTTATCAGTTAGACAATGGTGGGAACACTCTTAAAATCCAAGTTCCTTGACACCAGCCAAAGGTCAACAAAGCAACAGGCTTTTCTAGGGATAGCAGTCTCAAATCTGCCATGTTGGCTTTTTTTCTGTACCAATGCCTTCATGGGGGAGAGATGAGTTTGAGCTGAACCACGTTTTAGGAAGGTAGAGAGAAAAAGGGAAAGGGTTACAGGTGTGGTCAATGCTCACAAAATTGAAGCCCTTTTCAAATATCAGAGAATCTTAATACTGAAAGGAGTTCAGAGGTCGTTAGTCCAGTACCTTCCGAAGGACAAACTTACACCACTAGTGGTAGGCAAGACGATTTAGGCCATCTATGGATGAACAGTTTGTATTTTAGTGTTCGTATATTTATTTTGACGTGTATTTAAGAGTCTCATGCTCTACCAACTGAGTTAACTGGCTTCTATTTTGATGTGTATTTAAATATATAAGATAATTTTATATATATGTGTGTGTATTTTTTTCCTTAAAACTCTGATACCACAGATATTATCTTGGGTAAGGTTATTATTTTTTAAAATGGGAGTCAATTTAAAGACACAGGCTGGGCACAATGGCTCACGCCTGTAATCCCAGCACTTTGGGAGGCTGGGCAGGAAGATCACTTGAGGTCAGGAGTTTGAAACCAGCCTGGCCGACATGGTGAAACCCCATCTCTACTAAAAATACAAAAATTAGCTGGGTGTGGTGGTGCACACCTGTAATCCCAGCTACTTGGGAGGCTGAGGCAGGAGGATCATTTTAACCCAGAAAGTGGAGGTTACTGTGAGTCAAGATTGCGCCACTGCACTCCAGCCTGGGCAACAAAGTGAGACTCCATCTCAAAAAAACAGACACATATTAAATAATATTAAATACTAAGTAAATAGTTAAAAATAAAATGATTTAATATATAAAAATATTATAGTAAATATTAAATAAATAGCCCAGGGATAAGAGGCCATATCCAACTCCTTGAGGGCAGTGAGATGAGCAAATAGTGGATACTCGTCAGCTCCTGCTCCCTTCCACTGCAGAAACCTCACTGTCATGTTCTCCCTTTTGCTATAGACTCTCCCAGTTTCAGATGCTTCATCTGTAAAGTAACAGATTTGAGCTAAGCCTCTAGGGTACCTTCCAGATCTACTAGACAGTACTTCACAGATCCTCTGAGACTCAGTAATGGAAGTCAGTGGGAAAATGAAATTCAATTTTTATTTAATATTTTTCAGGAATCCTTTTTTTCTTATATAAAACAAGGTACATCTCTATGGATGCTATCATTGTTTATCCACTGCAGGAGTTTCACGGAGGAAAGAGAATACACAAATCACCACAAAGCTTTCTGCTGCTCACCACTTTCAGTGTCTTAAACCTAACTTCTTCATTTCTCCATTCTTTTGCCAAATTCTACTCAAATACTTTTTATGCTCGAGACACTGGCATTGCTGAGTTAGCCTGATTCTGTCTTCCCCTTGCCCATTCCTTGAAATGCAGTCCTCGGCAGTAATCTTTTGCCCGTGACATCCACTTTGGGTTCCTCTGGGCCTTCCAAAGGCACTCATAGCAGTTCTCAGCCATGCCCTCTGAGAATTAGAAGCCCATTGAGATCAGAAAGTTATTATTAAGGAGGGAAACATACCTTTGTGATAGTGCTAGAGGCTATTTCAGGCAAGAGAACTGAAAACCTAAGCCAGACTTTCTGATTGTTGATGCCAAGGAAACTCAAAAGAAAAAAAAAACCAAACCCTTTCTCTTTCATCTAACAAGCCCCTAGGAAAGATGTTCCTCGTAATGTCTGTCAAAGAAGTTAGCCTGCTGTCAGCAAGAGGTCTCTGTCTTTCGACATTACTAATTCCTTCACCACACAAGTACTTATTTTGTGCAAGACCCTGTTTTGTGCACTGGGAATACACAGTAAACAGGGTGTCCATTGACACCTGCCCATCTGGAAATTATATCTCATGAAGCCCCTGCCATACGCGAAAATAGACAATGCAGTGACCTCATAGGCTCTGACCTGCCTCTGCATCTCCTACCAATTCTCTCCCATTTGTTTAGATTTGAACATCTGGATCTTGCCTTATCCATAAGGCTTGAATGTCTAATGTCCAGCAGGCAGGGTTGGGTCTGGCTCTTAGTTCAGCCATTATCTCAGGCCTAGAATGATATCTCCCTAGTTACACTTGAACTAACTTTTAAGGCTCAACCCAAGTTAAGCCATTTCTGTGAACTACTCTGTACTAGAAGCCCTAAGAAAGCCTGTTCTTCATTGATTCCACAGACACAGGTCTGGCCTTTTACCTGAACAGCAAAGCTGATGTCTGTCAGCCTGTTCTTTGGAGACAGATGAATGGACTAGGATGGGCACCAGATTCAAGGGCAGCCTGTCTCTAGGCTGGCCAGATGCCTAATGCGAGGGTCTTGGTTTGGGAGATTTGTCTAAAGGATCAAAGGGGCCATGCAATTTCAGTGGGCCAGTCGAATCTTGATAATGAGCTCATCACGCTGTCAGTAGTGGCACCAGATGTGGGCACAGGTGCACACGTGTTCACACACACACACACACACACACACACACGGCTGAATCATTGGAGTGGCAGAACCACTGGCAAGAAGACAAAGAATCCTGTTGTTGAGAGGCACAAATTATCTCTGACTCCTGAATGGCTTAGATCCCTAGACTCTGAGCTTCCCATTTGTCATGGAGCCCTGGGAGGAGGCCCTGTGCTTAAGGCATCCTGAGCTTATGTTCTTCTCAAAGGGCTTAGATAAGACACTCTTCCTTGTGCTTCAGTCCCACCCTTTCCCTTCTCATCACCCTCTTTCACAGGCTATTTCTTGCCCTTCTGAGTTGGAACCCAGTGGAATCCTTGATTCTTAGCTTCTTAAGGGCAAGGGCAAGGGCAAGGCTTCATGGATTTTTACTGCAGGCTCAGCCCTCAGCCAAGTGGCAAGAGGGAAAAGAAAGGAGGGAAGATGTCCCACCCCAGCCCTCAGGGAGCTTCCACACTGGTAGATTATTATTATTGTTATTATTTTTGAGATGAAGTCTCACTCTGTTGTCCAGGCTGGAGTGTAGTGGTGTGATCTCAGCTCACTGTAAACTCCACCTCCTGGGTTCAAGTGATTCTCCTGCCTTAGCCTCCTGAGTAGCTGGGATTACAGGTGCCCTCCACCACACCTGGCTATTTTCTTTTGGGTTTTTAGTAGAGATGAGGTTTCCCAATGTAGGCCAGGTCAGTCTTGAACTCTTGACTTCAAGTAATCTGTCCGTCTTGGCCTCCCAAAGTGCTGGAATTACAGGTGTGAGTCACCGCACCCGACTCACTCTGGCAGATAAAGCCTGTGAGCAGCAGCTTGCTAACCCCTAAGCAGTGTGTGACTGCCCACAACAGGGTGAATTTGGAGTAAGGCTCAATGGCAGCCCTGGGCACTGGGGAGTGGGAATGTGGGGCTGGATGGAAAGGAGTGGGAAGGTCCTCCAGTAACTGAGAACAGCAGGAGCAGACCTGAGGAACAGATGAGGCTGGGCAAGGGGGCCGGGAGGAGAGTCTGAATGGGGTGTGGGGGCTGGGAGGTCCTGCCCGCTTCAGTCCTCACCCTGCCATTAAATCTGGGGCAGCAGCAAAATGGGTGTCCCAGCCACTCTGCCCTCTCAGTCACCTCATCAGGCACAAAGTGCCCAGGATTAAAAAAGAAAGAAAGAAAAAAAGAAAGGAAAGGAAAGGCCTCATTATATGGTTGGAAATCCTCATACCAGAGATAAAATTTTACGAGTTGCCTATTGCTCAGCACCCCGTATTTTTGACATTCCCTGTTTCACATACAGTATTTTAAACACATGAGACGCAGACATTACTGTTGTTTTTTTAATTTTTTTTTTTACTCTTTTCATTTTTTTTCTTTCTGTCATGGCTTAGTGGGTAGCTCTGAAGTTTTTAATACTGAAGGGCCCATTTCATGTTATTTATTACCCTGCTTGCGTGAAAGCTGAGGACTATAAATCGTCAACACAGGCCGTCTAATTCCAGCAACAGCAAGGTTTCGTCACATGTAATTAAAAGATCCCAAAGCCATTGGAATGTAATGGATTTGGAAATGACACCATGGGGGCAAGGGGAACAGGCCCAGGAAGAGGCAGCCGTATTTCAAAGGCTCTCCTGCATGGTCTGGGATCGATGGGGCTGCCTGACTGGGCTCCAACAGGGCTGGCTGACATGGGGATAGAGGCAGGGTCTGGATTTGATCTGATCCCCAGCTCTGAGACCAGGCCCTTGCAAGTCTCACCTGCATGGAGGCGCACCGAGCTTTTGAACTCACAAACTCCATTGGCCTGGCCTGCCCAGGCAGCCACCTCTGATAGCAGTGAGCATCCTCTGTCCTGGCAGGCAGGTTTCTAGAAGCACGGAAATAACACGGTCTTATAGATAGACATAACCTAAGCCCAGGATAGGGGAAAAGGTCTTGGTGTTCATCTTCCCCACAAGTACCATAATCCTTTCATTCTTGCCCAACTTTCTTCCAGAAGCCGTCACTTTAGTGACCTCATGCTCTGTTTGAAGATTCCCTGAATCCCTGCATCCACCTAGAGTTCATTGCTCTTTCCTCTAGGCTCCCAGAGGACCTTGACTGTCCAGTTTTTGGAATATTATAGTGCTGGGTGTGGTTATCTGTTTACTTGACTGCTTCTCTATCCCTATGGGTGACTCATGAACAAGGACTGTGTTTAAGTCTTCTCTGACCTTTATAGACTTTACATAGGCCTGCCACATAGTATGTGATCCACAAAGCTGCAGCAGGAAGGAAGGGATGCAAAATAAATAGGGGAGAGGAAAGAAAGCAAAAAAGGACAAAAGAAAGGAAGAAAGGAAAGAAAGCAAAAAAATAAAAATTAAATAAAAAAAAAAAAAAAGGAAGGGGGAGAAGGACCTTTGGTTATTTCTTCTCATCTCATGGCTTTAAATAATATGACGACTGGAATCAGACTTCAAGATTGCCCTCAGTGGTCCCTGCTGGTATTCCGGTTCCTGTCCCTCCCATATTGTAGCAGAGTTGATGGGTGTGACTAATAGCATATGGCAGAGTGACACTATGTCAATTCTGAGATTAGGTTATAAAAAAGACTGTGGCTTATGTCTTCTTCCCTCTTTCTCTGTTGACTCACACTCTGGAGGAAGCAGGCTGTTATGTTGTGTCAGCAGTCCTACGGGGAAGCCCACAGGAGAACTGAAGCCTGGGGCCAGCAGCCAGACAGGAACTGAGGCCTGCCAACAACCAGGTGATGAGATTAGGAGTGGATTCTCCAGTCCTAGTTGAGCCTTGAAATGACTGTGGCCTTGGATAATAGCTTAACTGAAACCTCATAAAAGACCCTAAGCCAGAGCCAGCAACAGCAAGGTTTTGTCCCACGTAATTAAAAGATCCCAAAGCCATTGGAATGTAATGGGTTTGGAAATGACACCATGGGGGCAAGGGGAACAGGCCCAGGAAGAGGCAGCCATATTTCAAAGGATTGATGGGGCTGCCTGGCTGAGCTCCAGCAGGGCTGCCTGACATGGGGATAGAGGCAGGGTCTGGATTTGATCTGATCTTCAGCTCTGAGACCAGGCCCTTGGAAGTCCCACCTGCATGGAGGGGCACCGAGCTTTTGAACTCACAAGCTCCACTGGCAAACCCAATTAGGCTTCTCCCTCATTCCTGACCTCAGAAACTGTGTGAGCAAATGAGTGTTACTTTAGGTTTCTAAGTCTGGGAGTAATGTATTATGCAGTGATAAATGACTCCTACAAACACCATCTATATGTTGATGGCACCACATTTTTATTTCCAACCCAGACCTCTCTGCTGAACTCCAGAACTATATATCCCACTGTCTCCTTTACATTCCTTCCTTTACTCCAAAACTCAACTCCTGGTCATTCTCCCAACCTGCTGCTCCATAGATTTCCCCATTGCAATTGGGGGCAGTTCTTATATGGATGCCTCCTACCAACTTCTGTCTGCTTCTTGCTTCCTTCTGTGGCCAATGTGGTCTATTTTCTACCCAGCAGCCAATGATCCCAACCAAATGTAGGTCAAATCATGACACTCCTCTGAACAAAATTCACCAGTGGCTTCCTCATTTCACAGAACAAAGACTATGGTCCTTAAATATCCTACAAAGCTGTCTTCTGTTCCTCTCTGACCTCACCTCCCACCTCTCTCCCCACTTGCTCACTTCCCAGGGGCCACACTAGCCATTTTGCTGCCAACACACTGCCACTTTAGGGCTTTGTGCTGGCTCTGTTCCCTGTCCAGGACTCTCCTCCCCAGTTACCTGCATGGCTCACTCCCTAGCTTCCCAAACTGTGAAAGGATAAATTTCTGTTGTTTTAAGCCACCCAGTTTGTAGAACTTTGTTAGCAGAGTACCCAGGTACTAGGAAATAAATACACATTTTATGCTTTCTTGTCCAAACCCACCCCACTCTTGTCTCAGAGCCTTCTCTCAAGGTTAACAGATTGCTGGTCACCACCTCAGGGCACCATGACCTCGCTCTCCAGAGTGTTTTCTCTCACATATACAATACAATAGCTCTTCCAAG